AGAAAGAGCACCGTGGCCTTATGGCTTCAGCACTGTAAACATAACTTCAGGTACCGCAGCTAAGGGCCTGCAGTTACCCACACTGTAGATTGCACATAGTTAAGACAATCATACTACTGAGAGAATCATACCATTGAGAGAGGGTAGTTCAGTTTTCACTCAGTGCTTGTGCCATGTTCCAGAGATCATTTAAACTCTGTCTAGGCAACACATCCCACTGGAAGATTCTCCTCAGCTGAACATGCCTCTTCATCCTTTTTAGCTCACAGTATTTCAGGATGTGTATGCCTTCACAGAATCACAGAATTTCTAGGTTGGAAGAGACCTCAAGATCATCGACTCCAACCTCTGACCTAACGCTAACAGTCCCCACTAAACCATATCCCTAAGCTCTACATCTAAACGTCTTTTAAAGACTTCCAGGGATGGTGACTCCACCACTTCCCTGGGCAGCCTGTTCCAATGTCGAACAACCCTTTCGGTAAAGAAGTTCTTCCTAAGATCCAACCTAAAACTCCCCTGGTGCAACTTAAGCCCATTCCCCCTCGTCCTGTCACCAGGCACGTGGGAGAACAGGCCTACCCCCACCTCACTACAGCCTCCTTTAAGGTATCTGTAAAGAGCAATAAGGTCGCCCCTGAGCCTTCTTTTCTCCAGGCTGAACAAGCCCAGCTCCCTCAGCCGCTCCTCGTAGGACTTGTTCTCCAGGCCCCTCACCAGCTTCGTCGCCCTTTCTGGACCTGCTCGAGCACCTCGATGTCCTTCTTGTAGCGAGGGGCCCAAAACTGAACACAGTAGTCGAGGTGCGGCCTCACCAGAGCCGAGTACAGGGGGATGATCACCTCCCTAGCCCTGCTGGTCACACTGTTTCTGATACAAGCCAGGATGCTGTTAGCCTTTTTGGCCACCTGAGCACACTGCTGGCTCATATTCAGCTGACTGTCCACCATCACTCCCAGGTCCTTCTCTGCCTGGCAGCTCTCCAACCACTCATCTCCCAGCCTGTAGCTCTGCTTGGGGTTATTGCGCCCCAGGTGCAGGACCCGGCACTTCGCATTGGTGCAGCCTATCCAGATCCTTCTGCAGAGCTTTCCTACCCTCAAGCAGATCGACACATGCGCATAGCTTGGTGTCATCTGCAAACTTACTGAGGGTGTGTTCTTCTTTCCTTACTATGTAGCTACAGGTCTCACCTTGTATTTACCTATAAGTTTAATTTAGAGGTTGCTTTAGATTCTTATTCAATGTGTGTAGATTAAGAAAAGTATTTTTTTCTTTCTCCATTTTTCAACAGGAAAATCAATAGTCTCTATTCAGGATTTTTCTTAGTTGAAAAAAAAGTATTAATAAATAAAAGTATTATAAACATATATATATTGTATATAGGTATATGTAAAGTATATTAAGTATATATAAAAATAAAGTATTATAAAAGTAAATAAAAGTATTAAATTATTGGGAAGACATTCATTTTAGCTGGATAATAACTAATGTTAATTACATACTAGCCAGAACACTTATCTTCGGAGTACTCAGCCTCCTTAACCAGAAGTCTGGGACAGGTAGCATAATAACCCCTCCACAGTTCAGGTGGAAACAGAGACCTGTTGCTCTACCTGATCTGTCACAAGTCCATGGGGCCAGATGTGATCCACCTGAAGGTGCTGAGGGAGTTCGCAGAGGTGATTGCCGAGCCACTTTCCATCATCTATCAGTAGTTATGGTCAACCAGAGAGGTCCCAGATGACTGGAGACTTGTTAATGTGATGCCCATCTATATAGGGGTCATAAGGAGGACACAAGGAACTACAGGCCTGTCAGACTGACCTTGGTGCCAGGAAAGGTGATGGAACAGGTCGTCTTGAATGCAATCATACAGCATCTGCGGGATAGCCAGGGGATCAGGCCCAGTCAGTGTGGGTTCATGAAAGGCAGTCCTGCCTGACCAATCTCATCTCCTTCTGTGACCAGGTGACCCACCTGGTGGATGATAGCAATGTTTGTTGATGTACATGTAGTCTACCTAGACTTCAGCAAGGCCTTTGACACGGTCGCCCATAGTATTCTCCTGGACAAGCCGGCAGCCCATGGCTTAGACAGGTACACACTTTGCTGGGTTGAAAACTGGCTGGATGGCCAGGTCCAGAGAGTAGTGGTGAACAGACTGAAATTCAGCTGGTGACTGGTCACCGGTGGTGTTCCCCAGGGGTCAGTGTTGGGGCCCATCCTCTTTAATATCTTTATTGATGACTTGGATGAGGGAATTGAGTGCACCCTCAATAAGTTTGCAGATGATACCAAGTTGGGGGGAAATGTCGATCTGCTGAGGGGTAGGGTGGCCCTTCAGAGGGAACTGGAAAGTTTGGATTGATGGGCAGAGGCCGATGGGATGAGGTTCAACAAGGTCAAGTGCTGTGTCCTGCACTTTGGTCACAACAACCCCATACAATGCTACAGGCTAGGGTCAGAGTGGCTAGAAGACTGTGAAGAGGAAAGGGGCCTAGGAGTGTTGATGAATGCTCGGCTGAACATGAGTCAGCAGGTTTGCCCATGGAGGTGGTGGAGTCACCATCCCTGGGGGTGTTTGAAGAAAGAAAGGTTGGATGTGGTGCTTAGGGACATGGTTTAGTGGATGATAGTGGTGGTAGGGGGACAGTTGGACCAGATGATCTTGGAGATCTTTTCCAACCTTAATAATTCTGTGATTCTATGATACTAAAGTACTAATTTTAACTGGAGCACCATTAATATTTTTTTATATCAACAGTAGTGACTGCCAACTCTCGTAAATTAAGAAAGAAAGTCTCTCAAGCAGGAAATACATTCAAAGAAACTTATAAAAGTAGATCCAGAGCCCCTGATTCCTAAACACTTATGTATGCATGTAACTTTGTTTTCATAGCAATCCACTAAATTTGACATTTATTTATAGCATATGAAGTTAAATCATTAAGAAAATGTGTCTTTACAATAGCAGAGATACAGGTTTTAAGAGAATTTTATGTCCATCTGCATATCTCTGGGCAGAGCAACTGCCTGTCAGTTTTATTCAAGTAGCTCAAGAACTTGTGAGTAATGGAACTGTATTATGGTTATGTTTAAGTACTACACTGTGAGCTTTTATTCATTTATTTATACTTTTCTATATATATTTTGTGGTTCCATGCATTATATTGTGTAGAGGTACCTTACTGCTTGTAAGGGAAAAACATTTTGACTAACCTGCATAAGTCCCAGGTGATAATTTAGCATATAAGTAATATATATTAATGTCTGCACAGTGAATACCCAAGATAAAGTTCTAAGTAGGGAATAAAAATTCTGTCAGGCCCACGCATTCTCAAAATGCTCAGGGAACTAAATCTTCCATTTTATTCTGAAACCAATGAATGATATTTAATAGCTACCTTGCCGGATTATTGATATCTGATAGATGCTGCCCTGCCAGTCAGAACATGTAAGAGCTGCTCAACATGCTGTACATATTTCTTGGTCAAAGATTCACAACTGGAAGACATAGTTTATATGCACATGTGCAGGAGTTTATTAAAATTAAGAATATATGATACTTATATTTTCAGAAATACCTTGGGCATTGAGAACCCAGGTAGATACGGACTTCTGCGATTAGAATCCATTTTCCATTTGTCATTTCCATTTTCCGTTTCTAAGGATTAGAATCCATTTTCAATGGTTTGAAAGTAGCCCTCATGAGGAAAGGCCTGAGGGTTTTGGTGGACAAGAAGCTTGACATGAACTGGCAATGTGCAGTTGCAGCCCAGAAAGCCAACCATTTCTGGGGCTGCATCAAAAGCAGTGTGGGAAGCAGGGCAAGGGAGCCGATTCTCCCTCTCTGCTCTGCTCCTGTGAGACTCCACCTGGAGAACTGCATTTAGCTCTGGGTCCCCCAGCACAAGAAGGACGTGGAAGTATTAGAACAAATCCAGAGAAGGGCCACAAAGATGATCAAGGGGCTGGAGCACCTCTCATGGGAAGACAAGCTGAGGGAGTTGGGGTTGTTCAACCTGGAGAAGAGAAGGCTCTGGGGAGACCTTCCAGTACCTAAAGGGGCCCTAAAAGAAAGCTGTTGCGGGACTCTTCGACAGCGAGTATACTGATAGGACAAGGAGTAATGTCTTTAAACTAGAAAAGGGTAAATTTAGGTGAGATATTCAGAAGAAATTCTTCAGTATGAGAGTGGTATGAGGCACTGGAACAGGTTGCCCAGAGAAGATGTGGAGGCCCCATCATTGTAGGCCATTAAGACAAGGCTGGATGCATCTTTGAGCAACCTGATCTAATGGGAGGTGTCCCTGCCCATGGCAGGGCGATTGGAACTTGATGATCTTTAATATCATTTCCAACCCAAACCATTGTATGATTCTGTGAAATCCTGCAAGCTGTTCCTCTGTCACAGGGTGTAGAAACCTAACCTGGACTGCTTCTGAAATTGACTTTCAGTCGTGTTAGCCTTATTCATGGGACAGGAAATAGCCAATGCACTTTAAGTAAGTGATAACTATCAGACTTGGGAGAATTTTTCCGTTGAACATACCACTGAAAACATTGTATGTTTATAAAAATGAATTCAGTAATTTATTATCTTTCAGGCATTGCTTAGTTTCTGTTAGACCTTTTTTCCAGTGTCAGGGTGTCTGACTGGTATTTTGAAGATTTATAATTAATTTAACTTCAGACTAGTTCATTTGAGTAGAAACACCATGCTTTGCAATTTCCCCCCCACCCTCCACCCTCACCAGTGATTGATAACTGCTGGAAGCAAGAGGACTTCTTTTAGTATTGTTCATGTAGTGGTGAGTGGATGGCATGCACTTAGTTTTATTTTTATAAAAATGGTTGTTTCTTGGCATATATGGGGAAAAGCTCAATATTACATTTTGCAGTAAATGAAATCAAGATTGTATTTGGCTTTAGTCTTTAGGTAATATGGTCGTTGTCTTTAATGTTGCTAATCAGTCCGTCTCATGTTTTTGGTTTAGGTTTTCTCCTGTGTGGGATGTCTGGTCGGCCCAGCATTCAGGTAAAGAGCTTTCTTAGACTCTAAAAGTGTAAGCTGTGATATGACATACTACTGAGTCAGAGAGTCAGAGGGATGGTAAAGGTGAAAAAAAAAAAAAAACCAGAAAAAAAAAAGCGGAGAAGATAAAGGAAACTGACGTTTATAAGTGGAACTTTTATTTCTGGCCAAAATGAACAATAACAAATCTACATGACCAGATAATGCTCAGCCAAAGAGCTCAATGCAACTCAAGATCCAAAGTGCAATGGTATAAGCAGGGGTTTTCAACTTCTGCTTAAAATACATAGAAGTCCATTTGGACTTTCCAACTGCAAGACAGCTACACTTTCCAAAGAGATCTGACTAACTGTCTACAAACCTAATGTCTGTACCTGGCCAGTTTGCTGAAATTATCATAAAGAATAGTATTACTCTACACATAGTGTACAATGTTTTGGAGAATAGTCAAAATGGCTTTTGTAAAGGTAAGTTTGCCTCACAAAACTGTTGAAATAAGTAGGAAAAGTTGATGTTTGTATGGATTGGTTGAAGTCCAAATCATATAATATCTTGGATTTTTAAGAGACTTTTGCCAGAGGCAAAAGGAGGTAAATAAAGGAGGCTTAGACTACCTGTGATCTGGAAAGTATGTGAGTACTGAGGTGATGACATCTGCTGATGAGACAAAGCTCTTCAAGCATAGTAAAGACAAGGACTGACTGTTCAGAGTTGCAAAAAATGTTAGGTTAAAAAGTGGGAGAAGGGACTCAGTACAGAGAGATGCAAAAAGTGAGCAAACAGGAAATAAATCCTGATGTTGCCGTTCATGCCCTTGGAATTATATTAATTGGGGCTGTTTAATGGAAATGTCAGATGAATGGTCTGTGATGATTAAAAAAGTAAATCTCAGGAACTGTTAGGAAAGGAATTGAGAGGAGAACAGGAATATCATTATGCTGAATGATTATTCTGTGGTGTATCCACATCTTCAGCTCTGTGATTCTGGTCCCTCTGTCTCAGAATGTATCAGAGTTGAAAAAGTGTGAGAAAAAGGCAAGAGTTGGGCTGAGCACATGGGCTTTTGTTGGAGACACATGACTGGATTTCTTTGTTTGCTACGGCCATTCTTATGTTTAAAAGTTCTTATCCACTGAGCTTTTGCTCAGTGTCACAACGGTGTACATTATGAAGAGGGTTGAGCCCTCTTGGAAAAAAAAAACAAACAGAGAGTAACAGTTTAGCATTAAATACGAGATTCTTCTGGGTCCCCTTATTGAAAAAATACACCTAAAAAGAAAAAGCATCTCTAAAAATAAATCTGACTGACAGAAGGTGGATATTTAAAAAACAAACAAAACAAACAAACAACAACAAACACACAAAACCAGAAAGTATTGTGTATTATGATAGGACTCAGGAGCTTGAGGGAGGCTGTTTGGCATGTTAGTATTTCATGTAGAATATACGATGTTCTAGCTCCATAGATTCCTAACCAAGTGAATCTCAGTTCTCTGTCAGATGCTGTGAAGCTGCACTAGTTATGGTTGTTAGAGGCATTTTACATCCATGGTTGGGAGGAAGCCAGCCTGATGGTTATGTTCTTGAAGAAGTTCAGCATCTCTGCTAATAGCCTTCGGATCATGCTTCAAAGCTGTTCATGATCCATATTCAGGATTTCTTTCAAGAAAGTGTGGGTTGGTATAATGTAAGTGACATTCTTGTACTTGTGAGTGGGTCTGATTGAAAGATCTCAAGGAAATCTGTCTTAGAATGTTCTCTTAAGGTCTGTAAAGATTTCAGGTTACATTAAGTGAATCTAAAGAAACGTATGGAAAGCCTGTGGTTTGTATACGTAGATACCTCAACTTCCACAAATCCTGTATTACCATTTTGGACTAAAACATTCACTTTCTTTCTCCAGATCCCCTTAATCAGCCATATTCTTCCTCTTTTGAGGGAATCACCACAAGTCATTACAATCATTCACCATGTGTGCATGATCAGGAACATCTCAGTACTTGGAACATTCTTTGAGCTTCAGCGCCAATGCATTGAATTCTGGTAACCAACATGTGACTTCAGCATTTGAAGACTGAATGTGTGTTGAAAAGAAAATCAGAATGGTCTGGAGGAATAAATGAAAACAGACCCTTGCACTGTTTAGAAACAGGTCCCAATTTACAAACCTAGCAGAAATTATGTTTACAGGAGGAATCCAGACAGCGTTGTATTATATCTTGAGTGCTCTACCAGTAGAGTCCTTTATAAATATCAAAAGCCTGACATTCAGATATTAAGAGTGGAAGAGAAAATATTCTTGAGGATAGCTTTGTCCCCAACGCTAGGGCATCAGTTACATGCCAGACATTTTTGTTTCAGCCTCCACTTTTCAATATTGATTCATGCAGCTTTGTAGAAGAAAAGTTCAGAGAGAAGGTGCAAAGTTCATAATGAATGACTTTGCCTTCATATACATAGAAATTTCAAGATGAAAATGAAAAACGCTTGAATTTCAACTTACAGTACTTCTTGTAGTAAACAGCAGAATCATGTTTGGATGATTATGTTAACATTTTGCTTTAACAATAGCATCACATAAGATGAGATGGAAAATCTGCCTTAAGAGAGTACCTTGTCTACTGTGCAATCTGATATTTTCAACAAGTTAATATTTCTTCAGTGTTGGACGCGAGTATGAAAAGTTCTATTTCAGCAAAAAGGTGAGCATTTTTCTTCATTGTCCCAGAAAGATTACATTGGAAAGTGAAATCAGTACAGAGGATGACTCAGTATAACCTTTCATCAGAGTTCTCTCTCCAGAGCTCAGCAAATAAGTCATTAAATTTTACCGAAACACCACTGGCTTTGGATGAAAGGACACTGTTAGGGCTGAAGATATCCCTGTCAGTCCTTCTGTCTGTCATAACTTTGGCAACGATCCTTGCAAATGTTTTTGTTGTTATTACAATTTTTATGACTAGAAAGCTCCACACACCTGCAAATTACCTCATTGGCTCCTTGGCAGTGACTGATCTTTTAGTGTCTGTTCTAGTGATGCCCATCAGTATTGCTTACACTGTCACCCACACGTGGGCCTTTGGCCAAGTGTTGTGTGATATCTGGTTATCGTCGGATATCACATGCTGCACAGCCTCAATCCTACATCTCTGTGTTATTGCACTGGACAGATATTGGGCTATCACAGATGCTTTGGAATATGCCAAACGCCGGACTGCTGGCCGAGCAGTGCTCATGATTGCTGTGGTCTGGATGATATCTATTAGTATTTCTGTGCCACCATTTTTCTGGAGGCAAGTGAAAACTCATGAAGAAATTGCAAAATGTACAGTGAACACAGATCAAATTTCCTACACAATTTATTCCACATGTGGAGCTTTCTACATCCCAACTGTGCTTCTCCTAATCTTGTATGGTAGAATTTATGTAGCAGCTCGATCAAGGATTCTGAAGCCACCATCATTATATGGGAAACGATTTACTACTGCACACCTGATTACTGGCTCTGCTGGGTCTTCCCTCTGCTCCATTAATGCTGGCCTTCATGAAGGGCATTCCCATTCAAGTGGATCCCCAGTACTTATCAATCATGTCAAAATAAAACTTACAGATAGTATCCTTCAAAGGAAAAGAATTTCTGCTGCAAGAGAAAGGAAAGCCACCAAAACTTTAGGCATTATTCTGGGAGCTTTCATTTTCTGCTGGCTGCCATTTTTTGTCATGTCTCTTGTCCTACCAATCTGTCAGGATGCATGTTGGTTTCATCCCATCCTACTGGACTTTTTTACATGGTTAGGTTACTTAAACTCATTAATCAATCCAGTCATTTATACAGCTTTTAATGAAGAATTTAAACAGGCTTTCCAAAAACTAATACATTTCAAAAAGTGCTTGTCTTGATTCTCTCCTATTGTGTTACTGACTCTTGTACAATCTTGCAGCCTCCCGTGAGATTTTCTGTGCTTTGATTCCTAGGGTATAGAGCAGTAACTGCCATCTCTGCTGCCCTGTGCTGTGCATGTAGCTGGGACCTTCTTGCCAATTTGCTTCTTTCTGTCTGGAATTCCATGTATCATAAGAGAACTTGTCTGTCATCTCTCCAGTGATCATTTGTATACGTAAGATCAACATATGAAGTAAGGTTTTTAACAAATGAAAGACTGTGAATCAGAAAGCTGAGTTTTGTTGATGAGATGGCACATACTACCAAGTCTGGCATACCTTTCTAACCTGATGGGAGGAAAACGTGCATATTTGCAGGACTTCAGTATTTCTGCTGTATATTATTAGCAATTTATGTAGACTGAGAAAGTTTCTGGAGAACAGGATCTGATGCCTATGTTTTCTTTAGCATGTATCCTATCCATTTGAAATTGATAAAACCAGTAACTTTTTCAGAAAACATGTGACACAGCCTGGCTGTAAGCAGCAGGCACAAAGTCATAGCAAGTATGTAAGTTCTGTGGACACTTCACAAACATATTCATTGAAGCTACACTTCCAGTAAACTGCAGAAAGAAGACAGTTTATTTGAAAGCATTTTTACACATTTTATCATGAGTAGAATAGCCAGTGCAGAAATACTACAAAATAAATAGCATGAAGATTATTGAAAATTACCTTGATTTTATGTCTTTTTTTTTTTTTTTTTTTCTTTTTTCTTTTTTTTTCCCTACACCCGATCTGAAACAAGAAAATATGTTTAGTACCAGTGTGGAATGACTGGGGTATCAGAATGGAACCAGAAGTCTTACTCCTCAGTTCTAGTACATATTTATTCCATACACATAGAAAAACAAAGCAGCGCTAATTCAGCAAAGAAAGCTGAACATTACTGTGTCTAATCCATGGGCACCCAGACTCCTTTAGGGAGCAACTAAGTGCTTAGGAGTGAGACAATAAAAACCTACTTTTGTAAGTCTTCGTGAGAATTGAAAATCTTCAAATGATATGTAGAAAATGAGAAACCCTGGGAAAACATTGAAAGATGTGGGCAACTGAAGACTGAAGTGTTTAGATAGGTAAAGGACAACTGCTAAGAGGAAGGAAATAATCAGTTCAACATATTCATAGAAAGTAAGACAAGAAGACAGGGACGTAGAAGGGAGAGAATTAAGTGAAATGTCAAGAAAAACTTACTTATAAATTAATGTTGTTGGACTAGATATGAAGTCACTATTTCAGTAAGTCTTTGAGAACTTGCCATATAAACTTCTGTCAGAAATCATGACGTCAGGATTCTCCTCTGGGGCAGTGGAAGTGGAGTAGGTCCCTTGTAACTTCTTTGTCTCTAGGATTATTTCCCGTTTTTGGAAGGTGGGAAGCTGGCACATGGAGGATTGCTCCAGGTCTTGGTTGAAGTCTCCGAAAGGACAGCACACTAAGTGCTGCAGCCCACGTTTCATTAACCTTTTTAGCATCACTGATCATGTTATAGCAGAAATATCGTGCTCATAATGCATATCAGTAGCATGCATTGCTTTGAAAGAATTATCCCATCATCCTTCTGATAGCTGTTCCAATTCTCAGTCTGATCAAATTCAACTCCATCATCCACTGCCTTAGCCATCCCAACACACTCCACCACAGGCCACATCCATCAAAGCAATTCAGCCTCTCCTTTGCATTTCTTTCACAGCCTTTTTCTTGTTGGTGGTGCCTCAGATGAGAACTGCACCATACAGTAACGTAGTGGAACAACCCACATACTGCAGGATCAGGCAGAGCAGTTATGTAGATGGCAGAATTACAGTCCTCTCTAGTTACACACAAAGAGTTTAATTGCCACCCTGCTTGGAGGAGCCTTTCCATTTGGCATTAACACAGCAAGGCAAGATTCATTTTAACATGACCCAGCAATGTTGCCAGCAGTGGCTAACCCCCCAGAACAAAGAGCACCTTGGAAAGTTTCCTGCAGTCATATAAGTACTACTATGAGAATGTCTGTGATATGACATCCCCTCGTTCCCTCAGGAGTCCTTTCCAGTCTCCCACAATGATAGTCACACAGCCTGAAGTGTGTATAATCCCAGAAGTCACAGTATCAGACTGTGTAGACTTTTTTTTTTGCTCTACAGGAAAAGGTTTCCTGTCATGAAGACACTGCTTATTTGTGTAACTATTAAACTTCCCCTCCTCTTCCACAGATGCCCTTCCTGTGTTGTCCATCCTGCCTGCATCGTGTGCTTTCTGGATGGTTGTGTTCAATCTGGCACAGTCTTGTGGACACAGGGAGAGCAGAAAATACCAGGAGATGTACAGAAAGTGAAGTACACAGCTTTAACTGCACAAACTTACCTGTTTTACAGCTTGAAAACAAAACAAAACAAAAATAAAATCAAACAACAACCACAACAAAAGATACTACTAGGGCAAGAGGATAAAAGGTAAATCAAGAGTCAGGGTCAGAGCTGGAAGCCAGAGTGAAGGTCTTGGTTCCTTAGGGACTTCAAGGAGAGAGTCAAATATGTTTTTTCAGCAGCCCATCTCACAATCTGGCCAGCATAATCCTGACATGTCCTGCTTTATACCAGCATCTGCTGAGAGCTACAGGCTTGGCTTGCCACAGAATAGAATAGAATAGAATAGAATAGAACAGAACAGAATCAGTTCAGTTGGAAGGGACCTACAAAGATCATCTGGTTCAACTGCCTGACCTCTTTAAGGCTAGCCAAAAGTTAAAGCATATCATTGAGGGCATTGTTGAAATGTCTCCTGAACATTGCAAGGCATGGGGCACCAACCACCTCACTAGGAAGCCTGTTCCAGTGTTTGACCACACTCACAGTAATGAAATTTTTCCTCATGCCCAGTCTGAACATCTCCCGGTGCAGCTCTGTGCCATTCCCATGCATCCTGTGATCAGTTCCCAGGGAGAAGAGACTGGCATCTCCCCCTGTGCTCCCCCTCCTCAGGGAGTTGCAGAGAGCAAGGAAGTCACCTCTTGGCCTCCTTTTCTCTAGACTAGATAACCCATGTGTCCTCAGCCTCTCCTCATGAGACATGCTTTCCAGCCCTTTTACCTGCTTTGTTGCCCTCCTCTAGTTGCTTTCAAGGACCTTAATATCCTATTTCTATTCTGGATCGCAGAACTGTGTAAAATATTCAAGGTGAGGCCACAACAATGCTAGCTGTAACAGGAGAATCACCTCTTTTGACCAGCTGGCTATGCTGTGTTTAAAAGTCAGTGAAAGTCAGTATCACCCCAAAACCACCCCTATGCCACCCCAAAATCAGGTTTGCCTTCTTGACTGCCAGGGCACACTGCTGGCTCCCGTTGAGCCTGCTGTCAACCAGCACCCCCAGATCCCTTTCAGCTGAGCTGCTCTCCAGACACTCATCTCCTAATTTGTACCTGTATCTGTCCTCACGCCTTCCCAGGTGCAGCACCCATCATTTGCCTTTGTTGAACTTCATTCTGTCGATGATTGTTCAGTGCTCCAATCTACCTAGATCCCTGTGCAAGATGTCTTGTCCCTCTAGGGAGTCAACAGCACCTCTCAGGTTAGTATCACCAGCAAATTTACTAAGGATGCACTCCACTCCTGCATCCAGATCATTGATAAAAATGTTGAACAGGACTGGTCCTAGAGTTGAACCTTGGGGAACACTGCTGATGACCAGCTGCCAGCCAGATGTAACATGATTGACTATGACCTTTTGAGCCCTACCATTGAGTCAGTTCATCACCCAGCATAGCATTACCCAGCTGTTTGTCTCACAGTTGGGCAATTTGTCCAGAAGGATGCTGTGAGGGAAAGTATCAAAGACCTTACTAAAATCCTGGAAGATTACGTTCATCCTATTCCCTTCATCCACCAAGTGGGTGACCTTATCATAAAAGGAGATCAAATTACTAAAAAATTACTATGCTTGGTAATAGCTTTGTTCTTCAAATGCCTTACAATCTTCTCCATAACTTTTTGAGGGACTGAGGTTTGACCAACAGGTCTGTAGTTTCCTGTCTCCATGAGAGGTCTTCTCTCATGCCCTTTTTGTTGGTGGTTGTAACACTGGCCAACTTACAGTCAGCAGGGACTTCCTCAGGCTCACCAGACCTTTGGTAAATTGCAGAAAAGGATCCAGCTATAACATCTGCTAACTCCTTCAATACTCTGGCATGAATGGCTGTCAGGCCCCGTGAATTTATGAATGCTGAGCTGATAAAACAGTTCCCTTAGAATTTTGGTGACGACAGATGGAAAGTCACTGATCCCTCAGACATGGTCGTCCAACTCTGAGGACCGGACAGCCCAAGATCTGCCGTAACTATTAAATGCTGACGCAAAAAAGGCATTAAATACTTCCACTTTCTCCTCATCCTTAGCTGTTAGGTGACCATCTGCTTCAAATATCAGTCCATATTTTCCTTTGACCTCTTGCTATTGACAAACTTGAAAAAGCCTTTTTTATTGTCTGATGACTTCATGTTGCCTAAGGCAGGGCTTGCCTTCAGACTGGTCTCTTAATAACAACTAATCCTGTTCCTACCTGATGTTCCAAGGCAGCATGCTAGCAGTGAGCCCTAAGGTCACAGTGTTCCTGAAAAAACTTGGCAGCAAAGCTGCCACTTGGTTGTCCAAGTAATGCTGAATTTTGGTCTGCATTTCACTGAGGGAGCATCTTCTACAGGGTCCTTCAGGTGTCCTGATACCTGGTTCTAAACTTGAAATCAAAGACTTGGAGTAGCTGATGCCAACATTTAATTAGAAATACTGATAGAGGCAACGATAGCAATTGTATCAGTCCTTGCTCAGATCTGAGGACACACAACACACTACCAGAGTAATTCACTTGGAAGGGACCTCTGGAGGTTGGTAATCTAAGGTCCTGCTCCAAGCAGGGCCAGTTGTGACATCAGATGAGGTTACTGAGGGTTTTTTTCAGCCTTCCAAGAAAGAGGATGTTGGGCATCTTTAGGTAACTTGTTCCAGTGCTTGACTGTCCTCACAGTGAAAAAGATTTTCCTTATATTGGAAGATTGTCCTTATATGGACTGGCAAGTTTCCAGCAGAGGGCCACCGAGATGATCGAGACATTGGAGCACCTCTCTTACAAGGAAAGGTGCAGAGAGCTGGGACTGTTCATCCTGGAGAAGAGGAAGGTTAGAGGAGATTTCATCAATGTGTAGAAGTACTTGAAGGGAGGGTGAAGAGGACAGAGAAGAGCCAGGAGCTACTGATATATTAGGAACCGACAGTGAAAAACTGTTAAAGTCCTCAAAGTATGTTCCTCTAAAATGGTGACAGGGTTGATAGTCCAACTGAAGTGTTTCTATACTAATGCACATAGCTTTGGTAACAGACAGAAGAAGTTGGAAGCCTCTGTGCACTTAGAAAGCTATGACCTAATCACTATCACTGAAACATGGTGGGACACGAACCATATTGAATGTACACAAGACTATGGGACCCAACAAGATGCATCCCAGGGTCCTAAGGGAATTGGCTGATGTGGTTGCTAAACCATTCTCCACATCATGTTTGAAAAGTCCTAGCTGTCAGGAGAGGTCCCCAGTGACTGGAGTAAAGGGAGTATTGCATCCCTTTTTAAAAAGGGTCACAAGGAGGATCCTGGAAACTACCCACCATTAAGTCTCACCTTGGTGCCTAGTAAGATCATGGAACAGATCCTTCTGGATGTCATGCCAAAACATATGGAGGATAGGAAGATGATTAGAGACAGACTGTATGGCTTCACTAAGGGCAAATCGTGCCTGACTGTGGTGGTTTCACCGTGCTGGGCAGCTAAACCCCACAACCGCTCTCTCACTCCCCCTCCTTTAGATGAGGAGGGGGAGAAGTAAAACAAAGAACAACTCACGGGTTGAGATAAGGATAATTTAATTAAAGGGAAATAATTATAATAATTAAATAAAGACTACCATGAACTAAACAATTTAACTAAGGGGAAATAAAAAGGGAAAGGGGAAAAGGGAGGGGAAAAGGGAAAATAAAAAGAAGGGAGGAAAACAAACAAACAAAATAAATGAAAGCTATATGGAAGTGCAGAGGAAAGAAATTACTCTCTACTTCCCACAAATGAGCGATGATTGACCACGTCCTTGAAGCAAAGCCTCAACACACGCAGCCGGTGTTCGAGAGGAGGACCGACGTCTTCTCAACGAGAGCCCACCCCTCCCCTCTTCTTCCTGTTTCCACCTTTTATTGCTGAGTGTGACATCACATGGTATGGAATATCCCTTTGATTGGTTTAGGTCAGCTGCCCTACTGATGTTTCTCTCCTCACTTTTTGCCCATCCCCTAGGAGGGTTAGAGAAAGGCCCAATACTGTGCCACTGCTGCTCAGCAGTAGACACAACACTGGTGTGGTAACACTGCTGTTCCAGCTACAAGTACAGAGTACGGCACTGTATGGGCTGCTGCCGGGAAAGTTAACATTCCAGCCAGACCCAGTACACTGACTAATCCAGTGGCCTTCTACGATGGACTGACTACATCAGTGGACAAGGGAAGAGCTACTGATGTCATCTGCTTGGACTTCTGTAAGGCCTTTGATACAATTCTTCAGACTAAATCGGAGGGATATGGTTTTGATGGATGGACTGTTAGATGGACAAAGAAATGTGGCTGGATGTCTGTGCCCAGAGTAATAGTCATTGTCCAAGAGGAAATAAGTAATAAATAAGTGGTATTCCTCAAGGGTCCATGCTGGAACAAATACTATTCAGTGATACTACATCAATGATAGAGATAGTGAGATTGAGTGCATGCTCAGCAAATTTGCAGATGACACTAAGCTGAGTGATGCAGTTGATATTCTAGAGGGAAGAGATGCCAAGGGATGTCAGTGGGACCCTGACAGACTTGAGGAGTGGGCCTACGGAAAACTCATGAAGTACAACTAGGCCAAGAGCAAAGTTCTACACCTGGGTCGGGGCAATCTTCAGTATCAATACAGACTAGATGATGAATTTATTGAGAGCAGTCCTGCAGAGAAGGACTTGGAGATACTGGTGGATGAAAAAATGGGTATGAACTGGCAATGTGTGATTGCAGCCCACAAAACCAACCATATCCTCGGCTACATAAAAAGAAGCGTGGCCAGCAGGTTAACTGAGGTTATTCTCCTCCTCTGCTCTCTAGTGATACCTCACCTGTAGTATTGTTTCCAGATCTGGGGTCCCAATCCAAGGACATGGACCTGCTGGAGTGTGTCCAGAGGAGGGCCACAAAAATGATCAGGAGACTGGCACACCTCTCATGAAGAAAGATTGAGAAATTTTGGGTTGTTCAGCCTGCAGAAGATAGCTTAAATGAATTAAAGATCAATGAGAAATTGAAGCAGGGTACTTGGAAACCCATGTCTTAGGGAATTCTGCAAGAAGTCCTTGAAGAATGCAATTTCCTCTTCATCTAATCTCCTTGGTTTGGGAGGTATTATCTCTGCTTCCATACCAATGTTCTGAGCCTGCCCTTCATGAAGGACCCTTGTCTGTCCAAAGGTGTCTCCAGTGTTCAGAAGAGTACCTGGAACCTTCCTATCCAGCATCCTTCCCATAGCTGCTGAATCACAACTTGCTTGACTTGCCCCAAGATAGTTTCCAGCCAGAAAATTTTATCCTCTTTGTACATACATGTATACAAGTCATGCTCAGAAGAGGGAAAGGAGAGCCAGACCTGGATAGGTCAGTACTTAGAACACACCTAGAAACTAGAAGACCCAGGATCAAGTCTGTTCTCTAGTAAGTAGTAGATGGTTTTTATACAACTGAATTGCTTCTACAGATAAAACTGAACTTTGTCCTTTGGTATCGGGGGAGTGACATTGATGAAAAACAGACTTCCCAGAGAGTATTTTGGGAATACCTCACATCTACCCAATGTGAGGACTTCCATGAATCATAAAACCACAGATAATGGTCCTTTGAGAGGCTAGATGGTCTATTCACATTGCCTTATCTGGATCAACTATACTTTTGTTCTTCCCCTGTCTTGCCTACTTCCAATGATGAACAGAATGGCAAAATATTATAGAACAGAACATGATCCACTACTGTTCTTTGGGCAATTATAAGACACTGTGTAATTCAAGAGCAAAGAAACTGTCCCCTTTCTTTGATTATAGGCTAGTTCAAAAAGGCATATGGTCCAATATTACACCATTGTCAATGCTGGTAAATATTTGGTATAATGCTTGAGGAATTCATATTTGGGAAAAAAATGATGTGGCACCAGCATAGGAAAACACTAACTAAGGATCATAAATGAAAGATAAATAACATCACACAGCTGAAAGGAGGAGGCTGTTATGTCAGAGATCAATGTCCATATTTACTGTGTAATTAATCGTCTGTGGATCACAGTCAAGAGAACACAAATGCATTTCAAAGAAGGCACATGAGAGTTGCGTGATTTCTAAGAGTCTCTCCAGTTAAACTCTGGTAATATTGAGCACAAAGGTAAAGTAAAACACTTTTTTTTTTTTTTAATTTGTAAAGAAGTACGTATTGTAGTTGTTCCAACAGATAGTTATTTCAATGACAAATTAGAATTTATTCAAAACAGAAGAATTAGATAAATAAAAGTCAAAGCATTATGTGTTCACTGCAGAACCCTGCAATTAGATTTCAGTGTAGAATATTTCAACAACTAAGGAAGAAGACATCTGTCTTTTTTTCAATTACCAGAACTTTCCCTAGGACCTTTCAAAAAATGATAAAAAGCAGTCTCGCAATGACATTAGCCAGCTTCCCTGGCACTCTAAAAGGTATCCTTCTGGTCTCATGTGTATGCCTAATTCAGCTGATATTTTTAAGATGTCTGCTCCAGGAAGGGGTGAATACCCCCTAAACTCAGTTGACTTTAACGACATTTCCACTGCCTAGGAAGAAAGACTGAAATGAGACCGAGTCTGTACTAGAGTAGTCTAACATATTCAGACAAACCTAGCTCTGAGTGCATGTAAATCCTGTTTATTACTGCCAACAGCAACCACTACCCATTATGCTGTTCTCCAGATATGTCAGATTCTGTCTTATGATGCTGGTGAAGACAGAGATGAAGAGCCTTGGTCTAAAGATGACATGGCATTGTCACTGTAATGCCACAGCATATGCTTTGTTACCAGGAGGAAGATGGTATGAACTGAATATGACATTGTCCTATTTCTGATGTTGCTGCTTGCTTCTCAGAGATCAGTACCTTTGTTGATGTACCTTGATATGGTTGTGGGCTGTCAGGGGACATCATGGTAGAATCTTGTAACTATAACATAGGAGTCATAATAAGATGTTTCTTTTTTTTTTTTTTTTTTTTTTCTTTCCCCCACTTAACTGTGTTTATTCATATTCCTGAAGTCTGTCTGGCACCTAGTGTAGCCAAGGCTCCAGCTCTGTCAGAAGCTTTTAGAAGCTAATTCAATAAATATTGGGATCCTATCATGACCCTGATGTTAATACTTAAAGGTTGAAGCCCTGGAATCAAGTAATAATGTAAGAATTTCAACTGCCATTAAAAAAACTTCTTATCTTCCTTGCAGAGCACAGCAAAAAATTTTGTTTTGATGGATGCCACTGGCTCATAAACATGTGGGCTGATTCAACTCACTAAACTGGCAAAAAGTATTCACTTCTTGTTAATTTTCTGCCAGTTTAATGAACAGAACAAATGCTAGAAGTGGTGCAACAGAAGCAGCACAGACTCAAAAGTAGTTTCAGGAGGACAGGACAGAACTGCATGTATCATCATTAGCAAGCTGTTAGATCAACTTACATACCTCATTTAAATTCACCATAGAAACAGCAAGTACAGAATAGAAAGAGCATCTGAAAAGTCACTTCAGGCACTTCACAGACTAGGAGATGACTAGATATTTTTCATAGCTACAGAGAAATCTGTTACCCGTGAGCTTGTCTAATCCCTTTTCCTACTCATACCTCTGGTGTTTGTGGCATCCTGTGGTCATGCATTTCTCATGCTATCAAGCCGTGTTTAAACTGCAAGAGCTACTTTTATTTGTTTAAACCTGCTACACCCTTCTGTTGCCAGACATGCTGACAGTTTCTGTTGCTTCCCCATACTATTTGTGATTTTATGGGTGTTTATTATCTCCCCTCCCCCCACCTCATTTCTGGTCACATTATTTACACTCTGCACCCTTTGGAATACACAACCTTTTCTGCCAAGTACTATAAGAAGAGGAAGCTGCCACGCCACAGTGACAGTCTTTGAGATAAGAAAGAGACCCTGGGGAAAGAGATCGCTGCTTTTCTCTGCTATTCTTATCAACTCTGCTATTCATATCAAGCACACAAGCACAGTGACCTTCTCCAGCCCACCCTAAACACAGCACCAACAGCATAACCTCTGCTGTATTTCCTCCTCCCTTGCCCTGTGCCTCTGCATCCTCTTTCATCTTCCTGTTCCAGCCCATATGTAGCTTGCCCCACTGCTGGTTCCCTTTATTCTTCAGGTTGAGTTGGGCTCCCTGACTTTGTTCTTGTCTCCTCTGCCAATTTTTGGCAAAAGGTTGCCTCTGTTGCCAAACTTTGGCTCAGCACTCCCCCACTCCAGCCCAGAGCCCAGGTCTGCCTTCAGCACTTCTTACATCCCCACTTGTCCCTTTCTGTCATTTCTGATGTTTCCACTGAATGCACTAAGTCCCCACAAATAAGAAAGGAAAAAAATCGCTCCTTCCCCTCAGGACAGCTAGAGCTTCCTTATTTCTCATTTCCTTTAGGTCATGCATCACATTTCATTTTCTGTGAGAAAACTTTCTCTAACTCTACAACACAGCTTTTTTCACCTGTGTATCTCCTCAGACAGCTGCAGCCCTGTTGCCGCATCCATGGTATTGTCAGCTGCAGCCATGCCACTTTCCACCACAGTGGGTAGGGTGACTCCCATGCTGATCCAGAGGTCTGACACACTGACATTCCCTGGTTTTCCAGTCACTGTTTCTTCCTCACACTGGAATCCCCACCTGGAAGCTGGTTCAGATACAGTATTGATATCTGAACCTTCCGGCTTCTTTGTTCTTTATTTTTCCTTAGAGCTCAGCATGTTCCTCAGTATTTCCCTCACATCTCCCTTGATTGCCTCCCATCAGTCAAGCTGGGTAGTGAGGTCATTACACTCTGCCTTGTGCTTTCCTTCCAGCAGCAGTTCATTGTCCAAATACTGCTGACATATTGTGGCACAGGAGACTGAGAAGCGTCCTTCATAGTCCGTAATGAGCATGACTGTGTAGATTGCATTAATCATAGAATCATTTAAGTCGGAAAAGATCTCTAGGATCATCAGGTCCAACCATTAACCTAGACTGTCATGTCTACCACTAAACCATGTCTCTAAGCACCACATCTACACGTCTTTCAAATACCTCTTGGGATGATGACTCAACTACTTCCCCAGGCAGCCCATTCCAATGCCTCACAACCCCTTCAGTGAAGAAATTTGTCCTAATATCCAACCTAAACTGCCCCAGTGCAACTTGAAGCCATTTCATCTTGTCCTTTTGCTTGTTGCTTGGGAGAAGAGACTGAATGCATGATGAGGACTCACTAAGGCCTGGGGCACGGGCACAATAGCCATCTCTTGGTTTGAAAGGGTGGGTGCTGATTTCCCAAAACTCAAACCAGAATGCCAGTACTACCACTAGAAACCTGTCTTCCTCAGATACCCATCAACGGCTGCTAAGTAGCCTACCTGGGTGCCAGGAGTGATCCCGAACAGACCACTGCAGCCAACTGCCAACAACAAGCAGGTGCGATCCATACAGATGACACTGAAGGATACACCAAGGAGAGAGCCTACGGTGGGGAGACACATCTTATTTTCCGGCCCTTCCCTTCTCATCCTCTCCTGAATGTTGTCCCCCTCTATCCATCCCAACACCCAAACCTCCATAATGTTGAGGGCTGAACTGGGAACAAGGGTAGTAAATGCACACTGTCAGACCCATCACTCCCTTCTGCCCTAAGAAGATACCTCCACAGCATATCAGAGGTATGGGGTTTTGAGGAGATCACTGACCTTGTCCTCCTGGAGACTGTGGTACAGGAGTCTCAGCATCCCTGGTCAGTTCTACAAAAGTGTTTTCATCCCTGGGCTCCAGGGGGGGATTTCAAGAGCTGTGACTTAGCTGCCATTTCCAAAGCCTAACCTCTGCCACCCCGGGGAAACTCTTGATAGTGCTGCCAGGGGCCATAAGGTGAGCTCTGGACCTTTGGGATATGCTAGAATGATGAAGCATTTTGGTGAGCCTTCAGTAAGTATGAGTATTGCCAGCCAATTGTTGGGGGTGTCACCCCAGCTCTGCTGTGGGTCCCACTCACTACATGCAGCCTTCTACACCTGGCATCCAAAATGATGGTGCTGAACTTGGTGGCAGAGATGGGCCCTTTGACTAGTCCTTGTCCCAGACTGGATCCCCCAGGCTTCTCCCACCAGTAAAGCACAGGAGCCAACAGGTGGCACGTTGTCAGGGAGCAGAAAGCACACATTTTTTTAACTTGTTTTTTGTTTTTTTCCTTGTCCTGGGGGAGCAGTTCAGTTCACTAAATGGTTTTCCTGGTCATAAGGGCACACCATGAAATGTAAAAAAAACAATATAATTAAATGTCTTACGTGAAACTTTGTACTAACAAGATATATCATATCACTGTTGTGTTCTTGGTATTGCATTCCTGCAACTCCATGTGAACACACACAATATTCTACCAGAGCTTTACAAGATGAATCACCTAGCACTTGAAGCATCTACCTTTGGCATTGCCTAAAATTTATCTGGAACAAATTGGAATATATATACATAATGTATTGTAATATATATACAGTATTGGACTACAGCTAACATACCTACTAGCAAAAGGGGACAATGCATTATAAGACTTCCAAGTCTGCCTGTGGGCTGGAAGCACTCACCAGCTGCTGACCCGATCCTCCTTTGACCCAGCTGGGCAGTTCAGCCCAATGCTATACAAAGGCATTGATAGCTAGCACTCTCAGTGTCTATCACCACACCACCCTCTAGGAAAAGCTCTGCATTACACTAGTCCTGGGGTTTTGCTTAATAGCAGAAAAATACTTTGAGCAACTTTTCCCATTTGGTGCTGGAAGGTCTCGTCTCCAGCTCCATCTTAACATCTTTTGGTTGCACATACCTGTGGTGGTTTTACTCATCTGGGCAGCTGAGCTCCACCACAACTGCTCTCTCACTCCCCCTCCTCAAAGGGAAAGGGGAAGAAAATAAGATGAGAAGGCCTCAAGGGTTGAGATAAGGACAGGGAAATCACTCAACAATTATCCTCACATGTCAAGCAGTCTCAGCATAGGGAGATTAAGGTATTTTATTGCCCATTACTAAGAAGCTAGAGCAGTGAGAAACTAAAACATCTTCACACCATCAACCACATTCTATGTCCTCCCCTTGCGCAGCGCAAGAGAACAGGGAATGGGAGCTGCGGTCAGTCTACAGCACTTCATCTCCGCCACTCCTTCCCAGTCACTCTCTGCCCCTGCTCCCCATGGGGTCCCTCCCACGGGATGCCATCCTTCCCGAACTGAGCCTGTGGGGGCTGCCCACAGGCAGCAGCTCTTCAAGAACTGCTTCCACATGGCTCCGTACCATGGGGTCCATCCCCCAGGAGCAAACTGCTCCAGCACGGGTCCCCCACGGCTGGGCAGCAGCTCCCCCCAGGCCCCCTCCTCCTGCGTGGGCTCCTCTCCAAGGGCTGCAGCTCCGGCCCGGGGCCTGCTCCTGAGGGGGCTCTCCGTGGGCCGCAGCCTCCTCCAGGCCACATCCACCTGCTCCACCGGGGGCACTCAGATAAAGGTAGCTCCGGCCGCGGCCCCGGGACCAGCCGGGCGGGCAGCAGGGCCCGGCGGGCGCAGGGCCGCCCGGCTGCGCGAGGCCAGGCCAGGCCAGGCCAGGACCGACCCGGCAGCCCCACGCCCGGCTTTCCCCCAAAATGGCCGAAGCTCCCTCAGCGGCTTCTCCCAACCACGGGGAAAGCGAAGGAAACCGGAGGACCTGGGCCCAGGCGCCGGCGGAGGGCGCCGCGAGGCGGTGCCGCGGCCGGGCCGGGCGGCACGGAGCAGGAGCGGGGCCGAGGCCCAGGACCCTCGCCCCGCCCCGCCCGGCAGCGCCGCGCTCCCGCCCCTCGCCCTGCCGGCCCCGCTCCCCCCGCGGTGACGCCAGGCACCGCCCGGTGCCGCGGCCCGCCTCTCATTGTCAGCGGCCGGACCCGCAGCCCGAGCCCGAGCCCCGCGGGCTGCGGCTGCCCGAGTCGTGGCGCGGCTGCCCCGGCCCGGGTCGCCCCGGCGGCTGCCCGAGCGGACCGAGCGCGCCGCGGGCGGAGGCTGAGCGCGGGCGCTGCCGCCGCCCAGGTAGGCAGAGGTGGGCGCCGCGGAGGGCCGCGGGCGGGCGGGTGCCGCGGCCCCGTCCGGAGCCCCGCGACGCCGCCGCCTCCGCCCGACCGGCGGGGTGGGGAGGAATTCGAGGCATCCGCTTTGTCTGCGCTGCCGGCAGACCGCCTTGCAGCCGCCCGCGCCGGGCGGGTGCCGCGGGACCGGGGTGCCCGCGGCGTGGCGGCGGCGAGACCCCGACCGCGGCGAGGCCGCGCTGCCGGGAGCGGCCAGGCCGGGCCTGCCCCGCCGCGCCGGGGCCTGGCGGGCTCCGGCACTGGCCCCGCGCCCGCGGCCCGCGGCGGTCGCTCTGGGGAGCTCGGCGAGAGCGGTGCGGCGCCCCGCGGGGCTGCCCCGCCACCGGTGGGAGCCGCCCTCGGGCGGGCTCGGGCTGTGCTCGGTCGCCTCCGAGGAATCTCCCGAGCTCCCGGACCGGCCGTTTACCTGGCGGCGGGCACGGAGCGGGGTCGCGGCCGGCCGGAAGGCACACGGCCTTTTTGCCAGGCTGGAGCGCTGCGGGTACTCTGCAAAGGCACGCAGAAATTCACCGACGGTTTGGAGATAACTAAATGCTAAATGCACGTCAAACGCTCGGTGTAGGGTTCTCTCCTACGATTGTCATGTAGTTGACCTTCTTGAGGCTTCTACGTGCTTAAGGCATGGGGTTCCTGTGAATAGCCATCAGCTTTTTTTTTTTTTTTTTTTTTTTCTTCAACTATCTCCTTGCTTTCCTGTCAGTTATTTATTTATCTGATTTTTTTCCCAGCCCATCCACTCTTATTTATGAAGAATAATGTTCTCCCTGTTATGTGTGAGCTTCTCTGATGCTCTCTGCCTTTGTTAATCAGGTTAAGGCTTCTTTGCTGCCTTGTCTTGAGGGAATTCATTTATTTAACATCACAAAATCTCCTTTTTCTCCTCTTAAACTTACTCAGATACTGCAGTTGGCTTTGCCAGCTGTCACAAGTTGTTGGTACGTAGAGCAAGTGAAGTAGCGGACCTTTGGTGGTTGTCTTTGATGACCACACTTCCATTGCAAATTTGCATTTTATTTTCTAATGCTACACTTGAAGCCTTTAAACCAATCAAACCCAAGTTAAAGTGACCATACCAACTAGTCAGCACCTTCTGATTAGGTGCAGTTGGATTAGATTTTAATAGGTGCATAAATGCTATTAAAATTCTCCACAAAGGCACTGAAAGTAGTGCTCACAATTGCAGCATGCATTGAGGTTGTTTCTTATCAAGTCTCTAGCTGAACTGAGAGCTTCCTGGGCGGAATCTCTCCTAAGTGGCAATGCATAGTGACGATAGTAAAAGGGGAAATATTTTACAACCCTGGAGTTTTCTTCGGCATTCAAGCTTTAGAAAAAATGCAGTTACTTAGCATATGCCTACAGTCTTGTGGCAGAGACGCATTTCCTTGCCTACTGGATAATGAAGAGGGACAGTATTCCTCTGCATTTCTACTGCATGTGTGAGTACAAAACCAACAATTATGTGCTTTGGTTAGTTAATAAAAGCCTGTGGCCAGTCAATGTGTTTCAGTAGGCGCAGTGTGCTACATGGCCATTTCACATCGGTGGTACTTGCAGAAGTATAATTCCTCTATTGTGTTGGATCCACAGCAGTAAGGATGGCTGCATTGGCTCCAGTACTCAAACTCTTCCCAGTGCTGATTAGGCTTGCTCATACAGCAGAAAAGGATCTGCTCTCTCTTCCTGTGTTTGCTGCCTGCCAAGCTGTTGAGCTGGACGGGCTCCCAGAAGGCTCCAAAAGGCCCTGGGGAGCACTGGCCATGCGTAGGGCTGCAAAGCAGAACCCTGCTCAGCTGTGGTGAGCACAGCCCCTGTCTGGGGTTGTGCCCTGGCAGCTGGGGCTGGTTGGGTCACCTAAGCCCCCTCTAACAGGCCAGGCCCTGGAAGTGGAGGAAAGCTTGCAAAACTGTTTGCTGTGTTTTTTTGGACATGTGGCTAAAAATTCCTGAGGGCAGGAGTAAATCAGGATAAGGAGATATAGAAGCATAGAATAACTTAAGAGTAGGCAGGTCCTTGGTAACTAACTTCCCTGCCTTTGTTCTGGTCCCAGTGGCCCTTCAGCCTCAGCTTTCCCTTAATCCTTTAAATGGTAAAACTTTCTTATTCCAGTTAAGGGCAAGCTGACAGATTTCTACTTTATAGGAAGACAAAATATGTTATGGCAACATAGTCTCTTCGCTAGCTCCTCTGGCTTTCTCTGTGCTCTGAAAATTTGGCCCAACTGCAAATAAGCTACTGAGTTTATGTATTTAACATAAGTTAGTAAACGTAGACAAAAATAGATCTTCTTGTATAAAGAGTACTCTCACATCTGGCTGTGACCAGAGATGGTAGTTAAAAACAAAACAAAAATAACAGTGTGCCTTACTAACAATGTAGGCCAAGTTATTTTGTTCTTTCGGATGAGCTGGTGATTAAATCTTTGAGCATGATCTAACCCTAGTATTGTACACAGGTACTCTGAGATTGTGCTCATCCTCTGTGAAGCCATTCCTTCCCACCAAGGGCAGCGGTCAGCAAGGAAACAAATGAGACATGCCTTATTATTTTCAGAAGTTTTTCAAAAAGTCTGGTTGGTATAACTGAGCCAAATCACAAAATGGAACAATTTTGATGCAAATGTTAAGCTCAAATGAAGCAAATAATCTTGTTTAGGACACTGTTTGCTCTGGAAGATTGACATGATGATCAGGAGCGGCAGCATGTTTTGCACTAACTACTGAAATGCAAGTCATGGGAACTCTTAAAACATATTGGAAGGAGAGCACTTGTCTAAAACCATTGTAAAGTCTTTTTTCTTAGGTTACATTTGGATTTGTGTATGTGATACAGAAAGCACGCATTTTGAAATACTTGGTGACAGCTGATGAGCATTACTTCTTCCATCTCTGTTGCTCTGCTTCACCTTTTGATACTATTATTCCCTTTGTTTTTCACAGTCTACGTTTTTTGAGGTTTTTGAGTACTTTAACTTGATCTCTTCTACTGTCAGTGGTCACCAAACGTGGGATTCACTGCACTTATCCCAGACTCAGCTGCTTGCCTGGGTGAACAGCCAAAGGCAGACTTCTCCATCTGGTGACTGAGGTCAACCATTGTAGACACTGGATGGTCAGTCATATGTCTAGATTTGGGGACTTGGAGTTAGTGACCGATTCATTTTGATGGAAAAACCCATGAGCGACTGATACCTGTGTGTACTGTTCCTGTGGAGTTG